TATTATACAGATTTGGTTATTTTCCAAAAATAGACTCCCAGCATAAAATCCTTCCGCTCATTCTTCACCTCCGCCCCCTTCATTCTCCCCTCCGCCTTCTCCGTCCCCACCGCCGTCTCCATCCCCACCGCCGTCTCCATCCCCACCGCCGTCTCCATTCCCGCCGCCCTCATCCCCTTCCCCGGCATCATCACCGTCCTCGCCTTCCGCGTCGGCCTTGCCGTGGTGATGATGCTTGGCTCCCCCTCCTTCTTCTTCTCCCGCATCCTCTGCCGCTCCTGCCGATTCATTTTTACCTCCTGACGACATTAGAACCACTCCTACTACACCCAGCAAAAGAATCACCCCCACCCCAACGCCGATTGCTAGAACCGGCGGGCCCTTACCTTTCTTTTCGTCATCTCCCGTGGTTGTCGTGTTCGCAGTTCCGTTTGCTGTTCCTAGCTGAAAACCGTTTTTCTTGTCATCCGCTGTCGCTTCATATGCATTGCAAATATGTCTGGGTCTGGAAGGATGCGAACCTGTGATGCGCATTTCACAACATAGATAAATCTGTCACGCATAGGCAGCAAAAGGTGCCCATTTCCTGTCACCAAAATGAGGGATTTGTCATGCGGATTAAGCAATGCGGAAGCTTCTCGAAATCTGTGATGCTAGGGCTTCCATGACAGACATTTTGCGTCATGCAAAAACAGCATGACAAAAATCTGCATTCTTCCAGACCCAGACACGACTTTTGCATTTGATACTTCAGCCACGTTCACCATGGAGACGCCCATGGTAGTCAGCGTAGCGGACTTCGCCACCTCTTTGTTTACGTCTTCCAACAACCCTGCGTAGGAATCAGAACTTGGATCCAGGGGTGACACCTCCTCGCCCGCGGTGGCAGATGGCCAGGCGGTGTTCAGGCTGTCTGCCTGGGCGTCATTCAAAGGCTGCAAGTGGAACTGGATGACGACCGTGCTAATGGATTTTTTTGTTGAGAATGAGCGTGTACTAGCAGTTCTAGTTATCAAGCCGCCCCCGCGTGTTCCTCGTGCTTGAAGATGATCTCCCTGTTCCTGTTTCCGTAGCAATTGCACTGCTGAAGACGGCGCTCCTGCTTGCGGCGCTGGTTTTCTTCTAGAGGACGAGGCTGTTTCATCTGCGTGATGGCCGCTTTGCTCCGCTCCTGTAGGACTCATACTTCTTACGTCATCATCTTCATACCGAAGAATCCTCGTGTGGTCACCCAGGCCCCTTTTCTTTGTTTTTCTAGCACTACTTGTCGCACTGCTACCCCCGCTTTCTTCCTTCGATCGGTGGTCCAACAAATTGTCGCTATTTGATGATGTCGTAGTAGCATCTCCGTCGTTTTCTATCTCCATAAGCTCCGCACCCTCTGGTTCTGTTCGGAAGGGAATCGCAGCGAGGATGTCCACATGGCTCTCTTCGTCAAGATCACTACTGCCGGCACCAACATCTTCTTCGAGAAACGATGCCGCGGAAGAAGATGATGAACTTTTCTTGCCCATGATCTGGATTTTCGCAATCTGCGTGTACGCCATGTCCACAACCCCCTTCGATCGGAACCACAGCACGATCCCCTCAATCACCGCGTCTTGAAACTCGGAATCCCGCGTCACTTTCTTCACCTTCGAGTTATCTGCCAATTCCATCCCAAGTTCGAATATCGAATGCAAAAATGTCTGGGTCTGGAAGATTCTGAGACCTGTGATGCATGTTTTGCATGACCCAGGATGTCTGTAATGCACGACCTAACATTACAGATTTTTAGAGGGCTTCCCGATGCCTACTCCGCATGACAAACGCCCTCCCCGCGTAGCACAAACTAGACTCCTCTTGCTGGTCATGCAATACAGATTTTTTTTAGAGTCCAAAGTTAGCATCACAAGCTCCACCCTTCCAGACCCAGACACTTTTGCATTTGATATCGAACTTTCGCTTTTGCGAGTCCCGCAACCGCCCCCGCGGGTGCTTTTTGATCACTAAGTTGGTGATCCCCGCATTGTTAATCTCGTCCTGTTGGACGTGCATATCAAGTGTAAAAGTGTCTGGGTCTGGAAACTTGTGATGCTGGGTGGCGTATCGTGAGGAGGCCACAAGTGCTGGCTCAGCATGACAAGTTTCTGAGCTTCTAGGTGTTGCCTATTCTGCATGACAAATTGCGTTTCTGCATGACAGAAAAATGGCGCTCTTTGGTAACGTGCATGACAGATTTGAGAGT